CTGCCACATGAACTTTTCAGAGGACATGGTCAAACCATAGCAAGTGACTAGCTAGAGTTACCTTTCTGCAAGAAAGAGGGTTTGAGGTCAGAACCTTCTCAGTGTACTTTTCCTCGTACCAGCTGCATCCTGGTTACAGATACTGGGGTCCTGGTTTCTGCTCTACTTCTTCTGAGAACTGGATATATTTAAGGAGGTTAAGCACCCTTTAGTTGTAGGTGAATAAACTGTAACTATATATATATATGAATGGTATTAATATTGACTCTATTATAATAAAAAGCTTTCCCTTTGCTAGCCTTAACAAGGCAAATCTGACTTCTTTACATTTTTGAACTATCTCATCATAGGAAAATTTGCATTAAAATTCCAATATTTTAATTAGGAACATAAAATTTGGGAGAACTTGTGCCCTACTGACATGTAAAAGTGGACAAACTTAGAAAATTCAGTGTTATGAGGAAAGAGATTGAAGTGAGACTTAGAAAGTTCAAATATTAACCTTTCCTTTTTCATTTGATCATCTGCCTCTGTCCGCAGTGTCAGTTGTTTTTCTCCTAAGTTCAATTTTTTTTCCTCTCTGAACTCTAGAAATTCTTACTGAGAAAAAGCTTTTTGCAGTGTGATTTCATTATTAGATTTCTTTAAAAATGAATGTGTGCTGAGGACGGTAATCCATTTTCCTTTTCTTTCTGCTCTGTAACAGAAAGACTGCTCTTCAGCTGTGCACCTGACTCCTAGAACACAGGGGGGAGTCTTTCTGACCCTCTCCTAGAACACAGGGGGGAGTCTTTCTGAACCAGTCATGGTCATGTGACCAAGCACTGGGCAACGAATGTGCAATGAGTATAGAACTTCTGAAACTCTTCTTAAATGAGAGGTCCTTAATGGCCCCTGTCCTTGACCCTGCTGCTCAGAAGGTAGACTGAAATCAGCTGCCTTGAACCTTGTGGCTGAGGGCAGACTTCTAGGCCTGGTGGAGCAGTGAGAGAGTGATCCAGGGCTGCCTTGCTGGCCTATCTACCACTGTGACTGGAGACCAGTGAACTTCTGTGTTATTTAAGACATTGCCATTTTTGGCCCATGAAGCATGTAGCCAAATCTACATATTTCTTAGTATAAATACAGAGAATGTGGGGCATTATTTTTAGTTTAGACAATGCTTAAAACAAAATAGAACCAGATCATTCCATTTTCTCATGCATACATAAAATATTCTGTGGTGGTTAAACTTATAATGATGGTTTGAGTGGTAATGGAAAATGCAAAGAGACTGACTCCAGGTTTATTTTACTACATATCAGCACAAAAAGCACCAGGCCTTCAAGTCTTTTACAGTCATTTCATTTGGATCAGGTGTTTACTTCAAGCAATGGGTGTGACTGATTGACTGTCTCATTCAGACAACAACAATCAACTACCTAATTTATCTTGCCTTTGAGAGGAGAGCATTTGCTGATAATGGGGAGTGCTGCCTTCTCTGAAGGAGGCTTTTAGAGTGAATGTGTGTCCTGGTACCAGTTTGGAAAGATTTAAAGCCAACCTCAATTTGAAGTAAATCTTAAGCCTTGTTGTTCACATAAATGTTCATGTAGCATTAAAATCTGGATTATTCTGAAAAGTTTAGGGAAAGAGAACTACTTTGAGGCCAAAGGTTACAGTGGGCAAGCTGGGCTTCCACAGATAGCAACAGAGAACCAAAGAGTGATGTTCAAGTCATGAGATAGATGCTCATAGGAAAATAGAAGCCAACCTAAGGGTATTTTGCTACATTTACTAGGTTACTGGACATGTCTGTGATGGAATTTTTTGATTACGTTAACCAAGGTGGGATGATCTACCCTAAACGTGGGTGGCACCATTCCATGGGCTGTAGTTCTGGACTGAATAAAAAGGAAGAGGGGAGTTGAACACCAGCATTCATCTCTGTCTGCTTCCTGATTCTGGATACAGTGTCATCAGCTGACTCCAGACTCTGCTGCCGGCCCGCCACACTATTATGGACTGTACTCTTGAACTGTGAGTCCAAATCAACTCTCCCTTCCTTAAGTTGCTGTTGTCTGATACTGTTTCACAGCAGTGAGAGAAAAATAATGAAGAGAGTGGCTTTTTGGTATAGACAGTCTGTAGGACGTGGCTAAACCAGACCTTTTAGTTTGTGCGTTTCCCAAAGTAATAATTTAGCTCTTTTTCAGTATGTATAATGGCTCAGAACACAAAGTTAGCACACTTGATTGTGCAAGCACACGTGGACCCTCATTCACCAACTGTAAATGTCTCTTGGTATTTGCTGGTCACCGAGGCACTATACTTGTGCATTTCCTCACACACTAAAATGTCCACAACCATCAACAAAATGGATATTTTGTTTTCGGACTTTTATTTTTATTTTGAATGTTTTATTTTCTGATAATAGAAACTACAAAACTTAACAGTAAGGAAGAAACAACTGTAAAATCCTGAGAATTTGATTCATCATTTAACCCTTTAAAAGTCATTAACTATAACAATTAGGTTTAAATGTACATGCCTAATTTTTATATTCATAAAACGAATTATAACATACCATAATGAGGAGTTGTTAGGATTTTTTTTCTGTGTTAAAGAATGTAAATTTCTTACTATAATCTATTTTTTTGTCTGTTCAAGGAAACTGTTTTAGATTACTACTGAATTGTAGTGGTTTCCCCATCAAACGTAATAGGCTGCATCCCTGTGCTGTGTGGAAGGCACTGATTTTGGAGAAATTAGCATCTAACCGTGTACTTTATGCCCTTTGGCAATTAGAAAATATTAAAGTGCTTGAAAAATGGACTCTACAACTATGTTCACAGAGGACTTACAACCTACACACGTACCAACAAAGATATTTAAACATTAGAGTAGGATTTGCATTGTTAAAATGTAGATTTGCATTTTCGAGGCTTATATTATATTAAACATTGCATAGTTCTATATTCACTATGTCATAATTTGCATTGCCGCTACTCCACAGGAAGTTAAAAATGTTCCCACCGTCTATGGTAGGATAAACTTAAACTTCTACAATCTCTACATGAACAAGTTTCATTTAAATCAGTACTCCTTCCCATCACATCACCAACCTACTCTCAGTACCTAGTTAATGATTGGTTTGGTGCTGAGTCTCAAAAGATGAGCCATGTTCATCAGCTGAATCATATCATGGAAAGCCTGGAAAGTCATCTGAACTAGCTTATCCACATCAGTCTCTGGACATGATTTCCAGGCTGTACACGCCATCACAAACTTGTCATCTCTGATGCGGTAGAAATATCCATATCCATTGTATATCATAGGAACCACGACTCCCTGGACTCGTAAATAACCAACCAGGCTTGCTGAGAGAACGAAGTTTCTACCTCCTCCACTTCTGGAGAAAAGTGGGTCTGTAAAGAGTTCTGGAATATGAAGGCCTTCCTTTTTTTGCTATGAGCAAAAGACCTAAAAGTTGACGGTCAAATCCTTTTCCATTTGAACAATCTTTCATCATTTTATTATGCTTTGCAAAAGCTTGTAACACCTTTCGCTGCTGCTCAAGAAAACTGGTAGAAGGGTCCTGCATGGACTGGCACCAGCTGACTGCCTCGACTGTACATAATCACATGGTCTCTGTTCGGCCCACCATAAAAATATCCTGTCATAGCTGTTTCGGAGCAGCAACCAGGGCGTTCATGAAGTCTGCAACAGGTGAGCTGAAGTGCAAGCTGAATAAAGGTATCAGGATGAAGCACCTCCTTCTTGGTGAGGTTTTTGCCAAAAGATGTGAAGGTATATGCTGCATCCTGTAGATCAGATGCTCCTTTGAGATGGTGGGCTTTAGCTTGGTAGACGTCATTTAGTATTTTCTCATCCACAGTGAAAACGAGCCCCTCTGGAAGTGGTATATCTTGTACTTTTTCTGAGCCCTTTCATCTTCCTTCAGTCTCTAAGCTTCTCTCATGAACGCAATGGACATAATGGGCAATGCTTACCATAACCATTCCATCATAAGGAGCATGATCACAACAACATTCAAATACTCCATTAGCAAAGGAAACCAAGTATAGGATTTGTCACCCCAGCATACTGATGGATCTCCAGTGAGGAGCATTTCCAAAACCTGAGAATAATCTTCTGGTGTTACATGTGGACTAGAATCCTCTATGGAATACATTAATAAACTGGTCTGAAAATTTTCTAATAAAGTCAAGTTCTCTGGAGCAAGACCAATGAGATATTCTCATGCCTTTGCCCATTGAGTTTGCTCCTCACTAGTTAATGCTGCCACACCCGTCCCTCGAGGCTCACTGTGGCATTTCTTGTAGCTATATGTCAGTTGTCTGAGAAGCTCCAGTGGGGTGATTAAGCATCCTTCCGGCATCACATCAAACACAAATATCTGCCTTGACACAGCACAGCAATTTGAATTGGACAGTGCCCTTCACTCTCAGTAGTAAAGTAATTCATAATTGAATCTCTAGTAATTCCTGGAATCTTGCAGGTAGAAAACAACATTCAGAATCAATTCATATCTAGTGGAGTATTTCCAGCTTTATGTACAAGCCATTTTTCTTTTCTTAGTAGCTGCCAGTAGTTCAAGTTATGCCAAAGAATTATACTTCCTCTTTCTGAGTGCCTTCTTTTGGAGGCCAGTAGTTTTCAAAATGGGGAGAAGGACCCACAAAGTTGACATTCAACTGTGATGGTATATGAACATCCAGGTAGGCAACATCGAGCCACCACTCTTCCAGCTGCTTCAAGGTGTTTTTTAAAATGAGTCTTCAAGTGAAGGAACAGGTAATGATGGAAGAAAATCCTGGTACTGAAATGTTCGTTCTTCAATTGATTTAACCAACTGATTTTCCATGGTACAAGCACAGTAGGAAAGCAGTAAACCAAGATGAACTGTTTGGGACTGGTCTGTTGGGACAACTCTGGTTTGAAACCACAAGGACTTCAACAAGGCTGGTGACTTAGACTGACATCGCTGAGGACATCCCCAAAATATGGAATGCTTCACAAATTTGTATCATCCTTGAGCAGGGGCCATGCTAATCTCTGTGTCGTTCCAGTTTTAGTATATGTGCTGCCGAAACGAGCACTTGTTTTCTGATTTAAAGAAGAAGAAACAGTGATTATTTTTAAAAATTGTATTTATTGTTTTATTGTGCGTATATGTGTGGACATGCCATCATGAGTGTATATTCCACCAAGTATGTGTAGGTCAGAGAAAAACTTGCAGGAGTTGGTTCTCTCTTTCTACCATGTGGGTTCTGGAGATTGAACTCAGATCATCAGCAAGCACCTTTACACAATGAGCTATCTCACTAGCCCCAGGGACTATTTTTTGTGTGTGTGGGACTACATCAGACTAAGAAGCTTTGATCAGTGAAGAAGCAGTCAATAATGTGGAAAACCAGCCTGTGGACTAGGAGAAAACATCTGTGAACCGTATACCTGATTCAGAGTTTAATGTCTAAAAAATATAATGGACTCAGGCAACTCAATAACATAAAAACAAAAATCTCATCAAAAAGCAGCAAAAGACCCAAATAGACATTTCTCTAAAGAAGACTTACAAATGGCCAATAGATACATGAAATGCAAATCAAAACAACGAGATAGCACATCACACCTGCCAGGGTGGTTATGACCAGAGAGACAAGAGATAACGGAGTTAACAGAGTTGTGGAAGAAAGGGAATCCTTGTATACTGTTCGTGGGAATGGGAGTTGGTGCAGCTGCTATGGAATGTAGTATGGGCATCAAGCAAACAACAAAAATAGAACCACTGTATCATCTAGTAATTCTGCTCCTAGATATCTACGCCAAGAGATGAAATCAGATTCCCACTCCCATGAACACCGTAGCATTATTAGCAATAGCTGGGACATGAACACATTATCTCTGTGGTAATAGTTTCAACGATTTTAAAAAGTATTTTATTTTAAATATTATAAAAATATAAATTTATATGATAAAATTATATAATATATAATATAAAAATTATATAATATTTTATTTTATGCATATGTGTGTATTGCCTGCATGTATATAAGTGCATGTGCATCATACAATGCCTGCAGAGGTGAGAAGAGAACATCAGATTCCCCTGGAACTGGAGTTACAGAAGGTTGTTAGCTGCCATGTGGGTGCTGGGAATGGAACCCAGGACCTCTGAAAGAGCAGCCAGTGCTTTTAACTGCTGAGTCATCTCTCTAGCCCCTTTACAACCATTTTTGTAGATGAAAACAAGTTGAGTTGGAGACAGGTTAGTCAGCATTCCCACATGTTGCATGGTGCTCTGGTCTGATGTCATCAAGGCTGATGCCTCTTACCAGCTCTGCTCCTGACCTTCGTTCTGCAATGCCTCTCCACCTGACCACCCAACTCACAGCTTCAAGAGCTGACTCAGAATGACTGACAGTGAATACCGAGTTCTGACTTTGTTCTGTTTACCTTTAAAGACTACGTTGACTATTATGTACTATTAGGGAACAATATCCTTCCTCTCTATCTCTCAATGTGTGTGTGTGTGTGGTGGGCTTGTGTATGTATAAGGGTATTCCAATGTATGTGGGTGCACATAGTGTGCATGCACATGTGTACATCTATATGTGGATGTCGGCACATTGACACATCAACAACGTTGATGTCGGGTGTCTTCCTCAATCTTTCTCCACTTTATTGAGGCATTATCTCTCATTGATCCTGGAGCTCACATGTTGCAGCTAGTCTATCTAGCCAGCTTTCCCAGGGGACCCACGTCCTTGACTCCTGTGTGCCGAGAGCAAACGGCAGCCGTATCTCGCTGGCTTTTCATGAGTTCTGGGGATCTGAACTCCAGTCCTCTGCCGTGCTCCATCTCTCCTCACTAGGCCATGGCCTTAGCCCTCCCCACTTTCTTTCTTGAACTCAGCGTCACACTTTACAAACGTTCTCCCATTGAGCCACATTCTCAGGCCTTGCTCACTTTTTGTTTAATTTAGTATATATAAGAATTTGAGTGCTTATTTCATAAATCATATTACACATGCATGAGGCTCGGATGCTTGTATAACTCACCACTGTAGTCACAATACTGCCCTGCAGAGACTCTTTCAGGTGTATTGAATATTGAACAAGTCAGTGAAGGAAGGAGGATGAATGCTTGACTTTCAAAACACTGGCTCACTTTTCTTCTTACGCTGAATTACGTATGTAGAGTGATATTTGAGACAATTCCCTAATAACACACACTAATTTTTTTCTCCTCCCCATTTTTCATACTTTCTATAGCATTTAAGCAAAAAGTTGTTTCAGCTCCATAGGTTTTATAAAGGAAAAGATTTTTGATGTGTGGGTGTTTAGGTTTTTACTGCCTCAAATTTTCTTTTGAGCAGATGTCGTAGATAATTCAGGTATATGCATCGAGGTCACTCAGACAGGGCTGGTATTGGGAGTAATAGGAGGAGAGGTGACAGAAGAAGAAGAATGCGGAGCTCTGTGTGGCTGGAGAATACGCTCGCAAGCATTAGTGTTTCGAACCTGTTCTAAAAGCTGACCTCTTGTGCTGTCTCACTCTAAATCACACTTGGCAAAACCCCAAACCACCAGTGTCAGTCAACACTATGCTCTACTTACCGGCTTTCAGTTCTGATTTTAAAAATTCTTGAACATTCCATCACCGTGCATCCCAGAGCAGAGATTGTCAGGCACATAGTTGCCAACACGCCAAGTATTCCTGAAAAGTATACAAGTTTTTTATGCTGGAAAATTGTATGAAGAACAAATTCCTTTTTCTTTCTTTCTTTTTTATTCTGCTGTGGGCTAGAGTTGAATTTAACTAAGAGGCCTTGTCAGGGATTTCCTGGTAAAGGACTGCACTGCCTCTACACCCAGCCTCAGCCTGTTGAGAACATTTCAGAGTAGATTTATGCAGAAAATGCAGGCATGCTAATGAGGTGGAAAGGCAAGACACACTCAGTAGTAACAGGGAGTTCTGGAGCTAATTGCTACCAGCCTGCCTTAAGTAAGATAAGTGGGCCATGTACTAGCCACTCTTTTACCCTGAAAATCCTGTTCGCTCTTCTGAAAAATGCCAAAATGATGAGGTTACTATTTTTTTTTTGAAGTCTCGACTCTGTGTCTCAAAACACAGGAGGCAGCATACTAATTGGAGTAATTATTTTTCTTTTAAAATGATTTGATTTCAGGTGTTATATGAAGAACTTTTTCATAGCAAAGCTCAAAATAATGAATAAAATTGCCATAAGCTTTCTTGAACTCTGTCCCATTAAATGAGAAAGTAGGTGCACTCCATCAAAGTACCGTAGTGGTTCAGCCTCATGTCAGACACACTGCACTGTAAACTGAGTCCTACTCTGTTCCTCTCTTATGGTCTGTACGTTTTGAGTGTGGGTAGACTCTACGGCTTTCTCCTCATCAATAGAAGCTGGTAAAGGATGAAATGGAACTCTTGATGTTATCTTTTGTTACTTTCTCTCTCTCTCTCTCTCCCTCCCTCCTCTTCTCTCTTCTTTTTTCAAACAAGCTGATCTGGTACTCACTATATCAACAGACAAGACTCTAATTAGCAGTGAGTTTCCTACCTGTCTCTAGAGTACTGGGATTACAGGTATGCACCCTGCAAGGCTAAAATACAGTTTTATCATACTAGGGGTTTTCCTGCTGCTCTTGAAGGAGCATAATTCAAGTTGTGAATAGCTTATGAAGAGAACCACATGGCAGGGAACCATGGCTGGCCTCTTGGTCTTGGGAGATGGTTTCTAGCTGTTTCCAGTGAGAAATCAAAACTATTAGTCATATACCAAGGCAGAAAATTAATTTCTGCCAATAAGCTTAGAAGTAGGCTCCTCCCTAGGTGTGTCCTCAATGGATATGCAGTATGGCCAGTGACTTGATTATAGTTTTGCTAGACCCTGAATAGAAGGCCCAGTTAAGCTTTGTCTCAACTCTTGAGTACTGGAGACTGAGAAAATAAATTTGTCTTTTAAACTGTCAAGTTTGTGGTACCTTGTTATTAAGCAGGAAAAACTAATAAACCTACTGTTGATCAAAAATTTGTTTCTTCAAGGTCAAGAATAAACAAATGGGACCTCATTAAATGGAAAAGCTTCTGTACACCAAAAGAAGCAACCAAGGAAGTGAAGAGAAAAGCCACAGAATGGGAGAAAATCTTTAGTAGTGACATGTCCAACAGAGGTCTAACATCCAGAATATATGACGAACTCAGAAAAAAAAGTATTAAGAAAGGAAATAACCCACTAAAAAGATGGGCTAAGGAGCTGAACAGAGAGTTCTCAAAAGAAGAAATAAAGATGGCTAAGAAGCATCTTAAAAGGTGTTCAACATCACTAGTAATTAGGGAAATGCAAATTAAAACCACTTTAAGATT